AGTTTGGCAAAGCAGCCTGGATTACTGCTGGCATGAGATCGGAACGCAAATGGAGGAATTAAAAACTAGTTCCACATTCCCTGCTGTATCTACAGAGGCGTGGTTCAGATATTTTTAAGTTGACTCCCAGTTGACACTATCTCTCAACACATTGTCTTAGCAGGGGGTGCAGTCTTAACCAGCTACAGGACTCCATAACCCCCCTACCAGCTGGTCATTTCTGGAACCTTCAAAGCTTATTATTTATTGTGTGTCACTTAAAATTGTCATTGTTCGCAATTTTCTTTTACATGTTTTGGGTGGTTCTAAGAAAATAGGTGGATTAGTGGAATAGTCATCAAGGAAAATGCGTGATTTTTTTTTATCCTCAGAGGATACAAGCATATTTTTCCTAGCATTTCACAGTTGTTCACATTTATCCACACTGCCTATATTTATATTAACAGCATTTATATTTATATTGCACCATATGTTTGCTCCTTTTTCTGTACCTGTTTTCATATCGGCACATTCCCCTTTTTATAGATGACAATAAATTCCCATCTTATCTTATGAATAACACTATTCTATGGCTAGACTTGACCTGAGTGCGGGGGTTGAGGAGCTTGAAATAAACAGTTGGGGCAGAAGTTGGAGGGAGGGGGAGGGTTAATGTGCAGAGCTGGGCGTACACAAGGGGGGGTCCAGTATCTGATAAGAGATAGTTAGAGGAGTGGTAACAGCCTACAGACTCTCTCAGATATGTTTGTGTAAGGACAGCGGAAAGCTTGATCCAGGACATTACATATTATGGCCTGGGTGGATATCAGAGGGAAATTGAAGATGTTAAAGAATATATTTACAAAAAGAATGCTAAAATGAAAACTCTTGGGAGAGAAAACATTCTGCTTGGGACAAAATGGGTCTGATATAGTCTCAATCTATCTAATACTTCTTTATCATATCTCTGTCATAACATCAATGTTGAAGCATGTCAAATTGTAAGCCTGAAAAGTCATCTTAGCCAAGTGTCACCCAAATGACTTTACTACAGCCACGCAAAAGTGTTTGCACAAACTGACTCAGCATGACAAGCAAACTTATTTTTGATGTGTTCAATCAGATAAATAACCACGTTAAATATATGCATCAAAAAAGAAGCTGCAAAGTTCACTCACGACGAGAGAGAGGAAGCTGTTTTGTGCTCAGTGCTGACACTGCTGGCCAGAAGGTGTATTGCAAAAACACTCAAAGGAGAAAAGACTGTACTATACTGCAATATCACCTCTGACCACCAGTGGGCTTTGTGTAGGATGTTGCTACATGTAGTGTATGAGTCATGTTTGAGTCACGTTTGGTGCAGAGGTGGATAAAGTGCCTCTTGGGTTTTGTGCGGAGACACAATTAATATCAGGACAGCTGAGAGCCTACACATATTGTGTCATAAACTGAAAACCCACCTGTTTTGCATCTTGGCCATCAAATAAAAAAAGAAAATGGTTGCAGTTACAAGGTTTAGCCTGTTTGAATGCACCAGCACTTCAGATGTTTTTGGCTTAATTGTAAATGCATGTTTCCATCTGTATTGCCCTTTGGTCAGCTGAACCACAGGGTAAAGGTGTATTGTGTACGTTTGTGTACATTTTGATGTGTTAAGCAGTGGTTGGCAGTAATTGTGTTTGCTGTGCAGTCAACATCAGAGATCTGGTATGCAGGGTATGTCATTTAAGAATTGAGTGTGTTTTAGTAACAGAAGAAGGGCGACCAGGTTAATATGAAACGCATTTATGTCAAAAAGTTCACCCTAAGTTGAGGAGTTGTTTTGCAGCAAACAGAAGCAGGAGGGTGGCTTGGTCAGGGTCGGAAAAGGCAGAGGTGAGGGGTCAGAGGTCACATCGAGGCAAAGCAAAATAAAGTTAAGCTTCTTTGAGAGCGAGCTCTTTTGTTTTGTGCACAGATTTATTTTGGGAAGCATGCAGAGAAAGAAAATAACTTCTTCTACTCTAGGAAAACAAAAAATCACCCCCTTCTCCTGTTTCGTGAGAGCCCGCTATCCCCCATAGTCCTGCTGCGTTTGTGCAGCTCTGCCCTCAGGCTCCCACGGGATGTCTCATCATCATAGGTTTATGGGATGGAATATATGTTGATAAATAATGCATCGTACAGCGTGTCTTATATAAGACGAGCTGGAGCCGATACACTCCCACACCTAATCTCTCGGAAACACAGGAGAGGAGATTCAGCCTACATCACTAACACACACACACACACACACACACACACACACACACACACACACACACACACACACACACACACACACACACACACACACACACACACACACACACACACACACACACCACACACACTTTAAAGCATCCCAGGCATGTACCTCTCTAACTGCATGCATAAAAGGCCACATGCAATATTCTGTATATAAACAATATATGTAACAGCTGCCAAACACATACTCTCCCTTACATAAACACACATGGGGATATGGGATGTCAGAGGGATGTCGTGCAAGGGGCTCCGATGAGATCAGATGGGGAGCATCGGCGTGTTTTTTCATTTAGTGGGAATAAGGAAGAGCTCTGTGACGGGGAATCAGAATGTCAGACCACTGGCAAACCTTGAGAGGAGTCGTGTACTTTGTGACCAGAAATACTCCAAATGAAAGTACATATCAGATTACTGCTATGTGAAAGTGTAGATAGAGGACGGAGATATTGAATGTTAATGTGTCTGAGTAAGGGGGAGTAAAGACTTTGTGTGAGGTTTTTGCGTAGGTTGTGTCCATCCTGTTATGGTAAGTTGTAGCAGAAGTGGATACAAAGTCAAATGTACAAACTGTACATAAACAAACACAGTAAGGACATCGTAAACATAATTCATAATCTCTCAACTGATACACAGCATGTATTTCTAATCATATTTGGCGTACATATTGTGAAAACAAAGGCAATGTTAAATTGTTAAAATGAGACCAAGTTCTCACAGAGCAAAATCAGGTGCTGGGGTTGTTGACTTCAATGAAGTAATTAGAACAACTTCAAACATACTGTAGCCTAGGAACAACAGCTGGACACAAAACTAAATAAGGCAATGACGCCCTCTGCTGCTCAACATAAAGACTCTTTCTTGCACAATATGACAGCATGGTCCAGTTTAGTGACACTTGAAATTTTCTTTTAAAGCATATTAAAACAAGTAGAGGATAAAATGATGAAGGAATTGCCCAAATTGTGAGTCACTGCATGGTTAAAAATGACTGCTGAAGAAAATCATATTAAAAGATTAGCTGAGTCCTAAACGACACAGTAGAGGTGAGCCCTATTTTATGGACTGAATAATATTTTCCTTTGCTCTGTGCTCATTACAGTTTTAAGGTTGTAAGAAAAGATGCACTGAATATTGTATAAAGAAAAATGACAAACATAGCTGCAGAAGTGTTTGAAATGAATAGAATTGATTGCCAATTATAAGTATGGTTCAGCCATAAGATGGTAATGCCAACCTTTAAATGCCGCTCATTAGTTGACATTTATGTTTATACATTTGTATTAATTAAGAAAAAAACCACAAGGAGTCACAGACTGTTTTGCTTTACACAATTGCTTCTTAAAGCTGTGAAGTACTACTGCTTAAAAGGCTTTTGTATAAACTCAAAGTAAGACTGGTGGGTGGGTCAAACTAGATTACACAAATGAACAATACAGGGTGTGGATTTGACTTCTTTGAATGTGGCTGACAGAAAGGCAAGATTAAACAGACTAATGATTACAGTTTCTCCATTGCTAACACACTTTTTTTTTTAAATTGCTCAGTTTCTCAGAACACTAAACACAATTCACAAAACCACACCCCCAAAGTGCAAAACACCTAATTTCTCCTGCTAAGTGAAGAACTGCCCTCAAAACTACATAAACACTTACCAAATGCAAACTTTAGCACCAAATATAACTTCATTCATAATACTGGATTGTTTGACCACCCAGCTACACACTGCTGAGCATACTCTAAAGCACTCTCATCTGTTATGGACTATGCTCTGTACATAGAGGTTTCTGCAGAGAAAGATTGCTTGAGTTTACAGAAATACAGTAAATGAAGAAATACAAATGAGTTGTTGAAAAAAATCACATTGTATTTAAAGATAACATTGCAGCAACATGCATCTCAGCACATAGTTACAATGCTTCGGATCTCTCTAAGTGTGATGCATTGTTTGCCCAAACCCAGTTAGTAACTGCTGCTTCCTGCCTCATTGGAAACCCTTAGCCTTCCACCTCTTTGTTTCTCAGTCCTTCAGATAAACAACAAAGACAGTGGTCGGTCTGTGTTGCATAAAAGTAAGTTTACCACAGTACATTGTGCAGGATGTTTGTAGTTATAGTATGCAACATTCCAACAATTCAATTACAGTAATGAAGTAAATACGTTTCACACAACAGATATAAGCTCTGATATATCACGAGAGTATTCTTCTTTGTCCACGTCCTCTCCCTCCAGCTCTACCTCTCACTCTCAGCCCAGCCCTTCCTCTTGCTTCCATGTTGGCCTCCATTGTTGCTGTAAGAAAGTACTCACCTGTGGTCTTTGTATAGTGCTAACATCCTGATTGATGAGCCAACAATTATGCTACCAGGTGTTTGGTCAGGTGGAACGTGTTTCTTGATCATTGGTCCATGTGTGAGGCCTTTTGAATATCAGTGTTTTAAACCTGCTAACACGTGACTTTATGTCAGATTCCTGTGTCTCACGTGGAGAAACGTGTGCAGTGGTTTGCACAGTGCCATGTTGATTTGAAAATTGTGTGAAAAGCTGAAAATGTGTTTAGAGTTTTGGAGATTTGAGCCGATGTTTTGCTCTTTGAGTGTCAGTTAAAATAATTGTGCTTCATGTATCATTTTAGTGTGTTAGCAATCGAGAAAAACTGTAACTCCTAGGTACTGATTGTTCAGTGACGATGTCTACTGTACTGTAAATGCAAATAAAAAACAACATAGCAGTACTACTCACAGGCACAAAGAAATAACGCTTTAATCCACTCACACACATACACACACTGCTAACAATATCATTTATTTTATGAAATTATATTATTATTACAACGTTCATTTAGTTAGGGTCTTTATATTCTCAAAGGCTCCTCTAAACAAATATTTACAAATTTCACAGTGAATTTGGTACATTTGGTTTAATATCATGACGTCTTCGAGCGATAGAACTATTAACAGAGCACTTATATACTAATAAAGGACTGGCTTACCTAAAGCCAGTTGAGTAGCACTTGAGATGTTTGGCTCTATGAAACCTGATGTACTTATCTGATTCTGTTTTCTTCAAGGTTGTGTCTTCCTGGTGGAATGTACTTATTGTAAGTCGCTTTGGATAAAAGCGTCAGCTAAATGCAATGAAATGTCTTCAAACCCTGTTAATAATCATTTTCATACCGCAAACTCTAAAAGGAAAAGCATAAATCACAAAGTCATGTTTGAAAATGAGATTAAGGCATGGCGACAGGTTAAGGAAATGTGGCTTCATTTCCCTCGGCAACAGTGCAATAATGCAACACTATCAAGTCTTTGGGCCTCACCGATAGTAAACCAATAATCAAAGGCAATTCCCTTTTAAATCAGTGCTCTCTACCATCTAGTTCCAAACAACTGAATCCAGACTACATCATGGTTTCAATACGGAGGAATGGGTTCACAGCAGCGAGTGACTTTGTTCTGGGAGGTACGGTTGAAGCTTTGGGGTGAGAGCTGTAAGAATGACCTTTATCCGCCCAAACAAGTGTAACCACTTAAAGAGTCTCATTGGAACGGGAATGTATGGGAGGTGTAGGGGATGGGGGGGTGGTGGTCCTTAGTCCTGCCTCTGAGGCACGCAGCCGTCCATCTCCAACACCTCGGGCCATCCCTCAAACTTGTTGGTGCCAGCACTGTTCTTTATATGCTGGGGAGGGAAACACAACACACATCGTTTGTAACGTCAACTCCAATTGCTACTGCCTCCTGATCAGACAGGCCATGACAGAAATAATGAATGATACTGCCAGACAGCTGATGTGAAGGGGCTGTTTTAACCAGCACCACACTAATGAAAGGCCAGCAGCAGCCTCTGAGTCCCAGGTGTCCTGGGATTTCACCAGCTCTTGTGTTCTCACAGTCATTACCATATTGCCTGCAGGATGGGATGTTTCCCCCAGGTAGTTTAAACACAGGGCTGCCCTCTGATATTTATTAGTGTTTATTAGGTGTTTCACTTATGTGGCTTTCACACCAGCGCTTTTCCCTTTCTAGCTCCGAGCTAGAGCTTTTCTGGTTCAGCTCCGGTTTCCCTTTTCTGCTCCCGCTCTGTTCACACCGCCCAGAGCCCGACTGGTGCTGCCGCTGCTGCGTCATGACGTCACCGATTACATCGCTGATTTGCTCCCCAACGGCATTACGGCGCTCACAACAACAACAACGGGGAACTGCGTCGGGTCGATGATCGTGTTGCTTTTAATCACACGAAGCCAGATTAAATTAAATAACGACTTCTCCAACCTTATACTTTGCTCCAGGGTGCCGTGGTTCATTGTTTATTAATGTGTTTCTGCAGCAGTGTTGGCTGCTCTTCCACGGGAGTTTATTCTCCTCCGTTAGCTCCCGGTTAGCTCACTCTAAAGTATTCACTGTCCGACTCACACAAGCAGCTGATACATATCCCCAGTTCCCTTTAGCCTAAGTGAATGTGTGTCAGTCTGAATTGACGCTGTTTGGCATCACAACGCTGTTATGAAAGTTTCTCTGGTATACAATGGGTGATGTTAGCATAGCAACCGAAGCTAAACTGACTACTTGCTATCCTATTGTGGCATAAACCGTTTTCTACAGGCACATTTTACCGGCGTATTTTTATTATGATTCTACTTGTGATAGTCGGACACGACAACCTGTGCAGCCCATGTATTGATTCCATCCGATAGCTGCTATAATACAAAACAACACGTCTGCCTCTCTCCACAATGATCAATAACAGTGAACGGATGGTCAAAGTAAGGTACAAATAAACAGAATCACACGAAGCCTGGTTAGTGTTGCCTGACTTTATAAAGTGTGTTTATAAGCACTACTGCTTGTAGGCAGGCATGACAGTCGACCCATGTTCAGGGGAGGTGGGTTTAGTTTCCTGCACGCCTCGACGTAAGAGAGACGTAAGCGACGCCACCTCTTAGCTCCGAAGCTCTTGCCTCTAGACCGACAATTTTTTGGAGCTGGAAGTGAACCGGTTTCCGGAGCTAAGAGCCGGCGCCGCTGCGGTGTGAACAGGAACAACTGGCGCTTTTCAGGCTCCAGCTCCGAGCCGGAGCTAAAAAAGCGCTGGTGTGAAAGGGGCAATATTTCAATCTGTGTATTAGAGCAGTGGATCCCAACCTGGGGGGCGCCAAAGATCGCAGGGGGGGGGGGGGTTATTATAATTATATATATAATTGTAACGCAATACATGATTGTCATTAAAAGCCTTGTCTCTACATTACAATAAAATATAAAAAATTATTGATTAATTAATTTGAATACAAATTCAAGTTAGTAGCTATTATAGGAATAAAAAGACAGAAATGTATAATTGTTTCTTTAATATAAATGTTTCTTCTGCCCGTAAAGTGTCCAAACCAGGCTTTTCTGGATAAGCGCATTTTTAAAACATAGTCATTGTCCATGCCGGTTTCAGTTGGATTATTTGTCACAGTTGCTCTGATCAGATCGTTCTCCTCCATTTTCTAGATTATTTACGACTTTTGAATCCACATAAACACATCGGCAAAATCCGGCTTACTTTGAGCATGTGTTTTAAACAGTTTAATCCCTTTGTGAATTGTTTCCACTTCCGCGCCGTCATTTAATTTCTTCATACAGCGGGAATCCAAATGAATTAATCCTGAGTCCAATAACCATCAAAGTCACTCCAATAGTGCTCCTTAATTACGCTTTCATCCTCCTTTAACAAAATACTTCACAGTCATCCAGTTTGTGACAGTAGTTGTAGCATTTTGAGACTTTAATTACTGCTGTAAATGTTGATGTTAAGTGTTTCGTCCAATTGTTGTGCAAACACTGAAATGTTCCTTATAGGCGTATGGGTTGTGGATTTGCTGGTAGAGTAAACTTTAATAGTTAGAACTGTGGTACGGCTGATTTGGGAACAAGTTCTTCTGTTAAATGTCAACATTTACAGTTGTTTCCAGACAAATGATACTGTTGTTGTAACCATGTGTGGGTCATGTTACCTGCTCAAATGGACTCTTGGTCTTGATGCCTTTCCCTCCTACAAAGATCCAGTTATCACGGAATCCCAAGTTACTGACGATCGAGCTTCCCAGATCAGCAATGAGCTTCCTGGCCTCATCGTTGAGTCTACAGAATAAAGAAGACAGATATTATGTCATGGCCACATCCCAGCCGATAATAGAGACAGTTAGGCAACAAGAATCTAAACAGGATACTTACTTTGTTGCAGCATCATCGAAGGAGGCCATCATCACGATCGTCCCATCCTCAATTTCCTTCAATAACTTAATAAGCGGAGCCACATCTGCACAAGGTTGGTAATTAAGATGGTTAATACAATGCTTTTATACAGTATATATTTGTTTTATGATTTCAAATGCACTCACCTCCACCCCACATATCAAAAAACACTGTGTTGATAAGGTCCCCTGTTTTCCCTGTGGGGTAGAAATAGATCGGGTTGAAGCAAATGTGACATTAAACTCAATCTATTATATTACGCAATCTTGGAGGTGGTTTATTGCTGTCTATCATAGGTTTAGCACATCAAATGGCTACATATTGTCGTGGCACTGGTGTTGAACACACAGTATTGATTTGCTATCAGCAGCAGTTTCCTCGAGGCATTGAACTCTGATAATGTTACCATTTATCAGGGCGATGTTGATTCCTCTCCCCACGTTGTTCTTCACTCCGCTCATTAATCTAACATAAAACAAAGGATGACAGTGAGAAGAGAAGACATCTTTTGAAATATAAACGTGTGATGAAGTCATGCCTCAGAGGTACATGATTGTGTTATAAGCTGTTTTAATACATGTGTGTGAAGAGATATGTTCCCAGACTTGGTGCATATCATGCCCCGGCCACACAAGGACGAAAACGGCCGTTTGCGTTACTGTTTAGTGTCATATAGACCATTCGGCCATACGAGGACGACCGAATACGGCACTAAACGACTGAGGAAACGATAACGGGTCCCAAGGTGGATAGAACGGCATACGCAACGCTCTGGGGGGTCCAACGGCTCCGTGTGTACGCCCTATACGATCATTTTCTGATAATGATGAGGCAATAGCCCCGCCTCTCCCCACCTCTGCTGCTCACCCCCGCGTCAAAGTAAACTGCACACTGAATTCAGATTATTTATCTTTCTCTCGATATGGACCTAAACGCGAGAGAAGTCTAATCTGACAGGACGGAGACACGCAGCTCTGCTCACCTGCAGCTCCTCTCGCTGTGATGCGGCGGTGAACGGAGTAAAACACACACTTCAAGTCCGATCATCACCCTTAGCTATTTTATTTATTACCTCTCAAACTACCTAAACTAGATATAAATATGTTTATTTTTACTGTCGGCCGGGTCACTCATTACTGGATCAGCTGCTGCATGAGACAGACACTGGCGCTGTCCGAAGAGAGGGAGGAAAAAGAGAGGCTCCGTGTATTTTATTATTATAATATATAGATTCGTTATTCATTTGTTTTATGGCTCAATAAATAACAAAGAAGACCTTTGACCGGCACTTTTATAATTTTGTCGGAAGATTTAAACTTTAATTCACGTTGACTGGCGAAAAACTCTGCCCGGTTCCCTCGGCCCCCACCGCGGAGAATAAACAGAAGGGCAACCATGACAACCATGCTTCTTCGCTGCTTTTGTGGAGGAAGTTACAGCGCCACGTACAGGCTCCTGCATATGTACTGCAGCTTCTCCAGCGGTTGGAGCTAAACGGAGCGGTCTCGTGTGGACAGACACTATCCGGATGACTATTGCGTGTGGACGGAAGCTTGTTTGCGATTGCGTTTGCGTTAATCCTATGCGTTTAGCCGTTTTCGTCCTTGTGTGGCCGGGGTCTCAGTGTGCCATCGTTATCAAACATTAGGTCAGAACTTTTGAACACTTGATAATGGATAGTGTTTTAAAAAATGTCATCAAATACAATAGGCTGCAACTAATGAGAACTGTCATGATCATTTCATGTACTATAGTTTCCGTTTGTATTATTGTTGGTCATGTTTCGCTATTCAGTAATTAATGATTTCATCTTCAAGATATTTTCAATTTTTTTTTACAATTCATTATTTTACGAGAACCTTTAAATCCTCACATTTGAGAAGGTCAAACCAAGCTGTTGCGAAGAGAACAACACCTAGGGCTCTGTGGATAAGCTACTATGACAAGTATGCAAATGTTGACAAATTCAACTAGTGATTTGCTCTTTGTTTAATTATATCCCACTCAAATCACAAATTCACTCATTTGTATTTTTCTTTTTTTAAAGTGGTCCCTCGAGGATTCAAATTGAAATGAAACCGTCATTTTTCTGCTAACTCAAATGTAAACTGTAAAGTGTATTCAATGTTTACATTTGATAGGCTTGACAAGCATAATGTACACTGCCTTTATATTGTGTATTCAATATGTATACTCTAGATATCCTACATTACTGGTATGTATATATGTTTGCGTATTTTGTTGATCTTCTACTGCTGTTATGTATATCTTTAATGTTTTTCATTGTATTTACTTCTCATTGATGTGCGATGTCTCATTTATGCTTCTGTGGTGGAAACATTTCCCAAATTGGGATCAACAAAGTATCTTGATGACAAATAAAACCTAGTTTAAGCATAAGCCACAAACACAAGAAGTCAAATATGTGCTCCTGTGTTTGCGAAGGCTTTAAGACGTGACTTCACGTACAGTTTGTCGTCCAGGCAGATCCTGGGCCCCACCACACTGGCTGCTCCACTCGCCATCTTGAAGGCCCAGTGTCCAGCGGGACACAACTTGGACATCCCACACTTGTACTTCAACGGCTTAATTGCTGTGAATGAAAAATAATGTACACAACACTCACCAGGTAGCTCACAGTCAGGTAACAAGTGGATCACATACGCCTACACACAAACAGGTGCAGACACAGGGAGAATAAAAAGCAACGGTTGAACCTTTACTTAACCGAATGGAATCTATTTACACTAAAGCACTAAGCTAAGAACAAAACATTAAAATGTGCAGGGCTTCTTTTGTCTGTGTGAGGCTCATTATTACCATTCCTGCATCAAGTGGTATAGAAAGAATTTAAAAAAGGAAACAAAAAAAGGAGAAAGTTGTATCAGAAGTATCAGATATTAACAAACAAGCAAAAAGAGGAAATAATACAAATATCACAATACTTACACGCTTCATTCGCTGGCATAGATCTCGCTGAAAAGCAAAAAAGTATATAGGTTATAGGAGATTAATGTTGTCACGATACCAACATTTTGGTTTCAATACCAAGTCAAGAATTGCGATTCCGATTCTTTTTCGATACTTTTCTTTTATTATTTTCATGATCAATAAAATGGTAGTTTATCTGTTAAGTGTTTTCTTACAACATGGCCTCTTCTTTATACTTGAGTTTATGTGATTTATTTGGTTAACTTTATATTTTATTAACATGTAATAGTACAGTAATATAAATAATTATTGACAGAATGTATATTGCAGATGTTAGCCACATTGGTAAGTTAGCTAAAAAGATAGCATATTAGAAAGTTATCATTTCCATTAATTGCCTCGTCAAACTACGAAAACGTTCGTTTGTCACAAAATAAATTACACTTGTTTGACTTAGATTTTTCTAAGTTTTTCTTTTCTTTTTACCGCTGCTTTTAATTGAACTATTCACATTTTAAACTGCACTGTAACTTTTATCCATGTATTTTTTCTTTTAATGTTTATTTTATTATCTTTTATTTTTAATGACTGATTTTAAATGCCATTGTCTTAATGTCTTTCGTTTTTTGTAAAGCACTTTGAATTGCCTTCTGTTGAAATGTGCTATATATATAAATAAACTTGCCTTGCCTTAGATTTGAGGGCATGCCTTGAGCATGATGTAATTATGTTATCTATCAAATTCGCTAACCTGTCTGTCTTTAAATTCTTTAAACAGCTCTGGATGCCGGTCGGCGGGTGCTTAGCCAAGTTTGATGTGTTGGCTCCCTTGGTTTGCAGGGATCTAAAACATGTCTCACAGACAGGCCTAGTGGTGTCCGTAGGCTTGCCCTCACTGTCAGAGATATAGCTCAAATACTTCCAAATGTCGCTTCTGGCGTCTTTTTTGTCAACAAGCCGAGGCGCAGCGGCAGTTGCACTCCCACTTGCAGCCATGCTTCTCGCTTTCTCACATGGGTTGCGTTCCAATAGTCCATTTAGCTTAGGAACCTTCCTAACCAAGTGAAATGACCCGGAAGTACGTCAGTGGCAGCCATGATAAGTGCCGTTCCAATTCTCCAAATGAAAGGAAAAGAGGTTTCAAACTTCCTTTATAACCTCCTTTAGCTTAGGAACCACTGGACCTCCCTTGACGAAAGGAGAGGAGAAAATGCTGCCCCACAATGCATTGCAGCCGCAGCATTTGCCGTCACTCAACAGTCGGCCGTTCACGGAAACAACTGATTATGACCGAGAAATTATATCATGATGATCACGGTGCTTATTAAGCATTTTAAAACGTATGTGGTAAGTTGCCAAAGTGCTTTGTTTTGAACGTTCATCAGTATTATAATCAAAGAGAAATATGAACGTTAGTTTTTACTGAAATGATCAAATAAAGTCAACATCTCAGTCTTTACTGAGCTGTGTGGAGTTTGTTCAACTTTTAAAAGATGTTTGAATGGTGATATACACAGTGATAGATGTTAAGGACTAACGTTTATAATAAATACATTTGTATTGATTTTAAGATCTTTTCAAAGTTCATACAATCATACGTATTGGGATCATTTGTATTAATGTGGACCGGAGGGAGAGGGTGACAACGAGCATAAGTTTCACTTTCCTTTTTTATTTCAATTCCAGCTTTGGTCCTGAAGAATATGTTTCTCTGTTGTCCACGTTCATAAAGCATAAAGCAACAGCATCAGAGCACGGTGCAGAGTCTCTAGATGAGTTTACAGTAGTCCCTCGTTCTTATTAAATATCCATGTTGTAGTCCGCAGTATAGAAAACTGTAGTTTCCATAGTTTCCCCACAGCAGCAGACGCACATTCATGACGTCCGCTGGCGCATCATAAACACGTCGGATAGTGAAAGTGCATTCGGATTCTCTAAAGTACCGCAGTCTCTTCTCCTAAGTCCTTTTGAATTCTCCTATCCACTATCCCTTAACCCCGTGACGTTTCACTCAGAGGTCAAGGAATAGGAGATAGGGTTAGAATTTAGGAGCTGATTTTTGGATTATCGGAACGCAACCTTGCTTTGGCAGCTAGCGCGTGCACGAGAGAGGGGAGGGACTTAGAGCGTGCTTGAGAGGGGAGGGACTGAGATGTTCTGCAGTAAGGAGGGGCGTAGGAGTTGTGTTCGAGTGTAAGGAAAAGTCATAATGAGTGTTATACTATTGATTGGTTCTGTAAGGCGTGGCTGAGGCCGTCAATACCAGAAAATAAAGAGAACGTTTTCGACATTGAAGGCTCGAGTGATCTGTGATTTTGAATAGCGGTGAACGCTACAATATGAACAGGCTTGTGCTTGGCCCACTGGTATTGTTTGTTTATTTATTTAGAAAATTAACAACGCTGTGCTGTCATATAGCAACTGCTAAGCTACTGCAGCAAAAAAATCCTGGCGCCGCCCATGCTGTAGTGCGGAGATCATCATCATCATCATTCTGTCTTGTATTACTTAACAACAAAAAACGGCTCGTTCGCGACCGACACATCACTAGCTCTTATTAAAACGGCGCTTTCTCACCGGAGTACTTTTCCCCGTCATTCTTAAAGTACCGATACTAATGAAACGGAGGAATCTAACGTTTTTAACGGCAGGGTATCGTGGTAACTTTCAAGTATCGGTACACCGTGCAACACTAGAGATTATCCATCGACAGCTCAATAATGCTCATTCAAACGCAGCTCTGTATGACTACTCCCTCAATAACATATTTGGTTTGTGAAATGTAAACACAACCAGAAGGAAACACAAGGGCATATCTTAGAGAAATAACTGAAATCCCCCCTTCACAATAACTGTTTGAACAGGTTTCGTGTTTCCTTAACAACTGATAACTCTCCCACTTCATTCTTTTGTTGGAGCACCTCAGGGCACTGTTGAACGTTGTGATTTTACTACAGCGAATGTTACTCACAGATCACACTGTTCAGATTGAAGTCCATGTTAATCTCCAGCAGTTGAAAAGCCAGAAAGACAGCTAGCAGAAACGCAAATACGAGCGCCGCAATCTTCAAAATACCTGCAATAGAAAGATAGACAAATGAATCAACATTTATGAAACACCACAAAATACTTTCCAATCGTGTTATACTATGGCGTATGCTGTATTTCTTAAAGGGGGATATACTTACCACCCACCCTGACCATCTTTGGCTTCAGTCAGATGTTTACACACCAAACAACCTGAGATGAAAACATGTTAAGGTTGCAACAATTAACCCTTTTTATGAGCAATTGACTCAAAATGAACACAACCATGTCAACAATATAGTTAGATAATGAAGTAATAGACATTTTTGAGGGAAAAAAACATATAATAACAATATGTACCATTGATGGTTTACTACCTGTTTTGGAGGAAAAACAGGTATAACAGGAATACATAACAGGAAACTAGAAAATAAAGGGTTCATTTTCCAAAAGTTGTGATGTCTAAATGTCCTCCCCAATAGCAATAGGGTGACATTAACCCATATACAATGGCATTAACTTAAGATGACTTTCCTTTGGTTGCCAATAATTGAAATAATACAATTAGCTAATGCAACAAAGTTAGTAGGGTATTTTGAAGTCACTTTAGCTTCCTTGAATGAGTTATTACACTGTAGTAGGTCTTTATATTGCACTTATCTAGGCTTTATTGGCTGTGTCGTTTTTCTCATACTGATATTCTGAACAAACTGTGCTGTTGTATTTGCTGTGAAGTGTCTCTACTGTAGGCTATTTTTATTATATGTACAGCACTTTGGCTCGACCAAAAATCGTTTAGAAATGTGCTATATAAATATAACTTGATTTGCTTACATAGCGCTGAAGCTACACTTAAACATGCTATCTAGTAACTAGCGTACACATTTAACGTTAAGTGACGTTACGTTCACTGCAGTGTAACTTCCTCGTCTCTGCCTACGTTTGCTAACTTACACCTAAAGAACTCCAGCGGGATTCTAATTGTAGTGTTATAAATCTTTTTTTAAGTAATACGTTGAAAAGTAATATTAGGGTGAGGGTCACACCTTGCTTACCTGTGCAATTGCCACGGTAACCACGAATACTCGGTGCAGTTCACCAAACCAAAGTGAGTGATTCGTGTAATGACAGCTGAGATGTTAGAGGGGCAAGAGGCGGGAAGATTCTCCACTCTGTCGGAGAAATCAAAGAGCCTACAAACAGGCAGTTCTGTAGGTTCTTGTTTGATTGTTTTCTAGCTCTAATCAGAATCTAAGAGCACGTTTTAACCCTTATTTTTTTTTTAAAATCATTATATTTAAGTGATATTCGCTTGCTTGCGAACTCTGGAGCGGTTCATTGCTGGTGTGAACCATAGACTGTATATAAAAGTGTGAACGCAGTCCGCACCAAAACATAGGGCGTAGTATTTACGTGTCACAAGAACGCGGATATCTTCAAAATCTTTAGCGAAAGAGTCTTTCAAGACATCCGCGGTTGTTTAGTTAAAGAGTGAAGCAGAATGAAGTGTTGAACAGTGTCGTGTAAAGTCAAAATTCTCCGTCAGCTACATAAAATTAAGAACACCTGTCGTCGGTGAAACCTCCTCCTTACTGCAGAACGTCTCTCATTATGTGTTGTGTTTTTTAACGGACGTTGTCTGATTATATATATATGCGCGGGCCGCTAGTGTCTGTTGATCTCTTGTTGACAAGTATACAACTGTGAAGAAAAAAAAACAGATGTGATTGTATTTATTTGCATTATGGTAATATGGGAACTTATTCTTAGCCTTATTTGTTTTTTAATACTATTGTGTAAATGTGTTTGCTGCTGTGGTCAGCAGATGGCTATTTGTGAGGCTCAAGCTAAGATGTTGGTTTTTACGAGTGAGACATCTTACCATTAAGGGATCTTTGTTTCCTTCACCCTGACTTCCTGCTTTTTCTTCTTCTCTGTTCACTTCGAAGCATATGGGATTGCGTTACAGCGCCTCCAGTGTCCTTTGATTGATCGACCCAGAGATGTATTGTAAGTTTAAGAATCATCATGATGTATTTAACTGTAAGAAACATATACTAATATTTTGTATATTTATTTTAAAAAAATGTTTTTATATAAATGCACATTTTTAGGATTATTCATTTGTTTTCACATTAAAAAAGAAAGTAAATGGTGGTGCAAACAGAGAAGGAAATTACAATTTAAAAAACTGTACAAATCATAAGATTAAGCAAATAAAACAGTGAAATGTTGCAAGCTCAATAAATAAGGACATTCTCATGCTTGTCCTGCGATCCTCAGAACCCTCCATGATGAGTACAACATTATTCCAACAAAAGGCATTGTGCAGTCTTTTTCAGCTCTGCTGGAGGAATTTGAAAAGTTCATTGAATCCATATAAATGGGTCACGTGTCATTCAATAAGATCCTGGAAAATAAGAACAACAACGTATAAATACACATGGTAAAATCACATAATCTTTCAAGTTAAAAAGTTATAGAATAAAACAAGTGATAATAGCTCTTACGTCGTCTGAGTCCTGCGGGCAGACTGTGCCGTTGCTGCTGGTGGCGCTTTCAAGGTCCACAGTGATGCTGTTATCTTCATCCTGAATCCGGAGGTTGGAGAAACGATACACTGGGGAGCTGTAGATGGGGACATCAAACCAGAGTGGTCAGCTACCATTGGGTGCATAAAGGTGGACATGCAGATGTGTGTGTGTGGCTACCTGGTTCCTTGAACCACCCCTTTGACAGCGATGATGGCGGAGACGATAACTACCAACACGATGACTCCTGCTCCGGCACACACCAGGATCAAAACTAGCCTCTCTCGCTGGAATAAAACACAATAACTGTTATTTTCCTTAAAAAAAAATCAGGAACAACTGAAGGTGCGCACACACACTCGTTAGAGCAACAACTGACCGCTGTGTCAAAGTGTGTGATTGGAGACGGGGACCTGGCAGGTGGTGGTCCGAGGCTGGGTTTAACACCACAGGGTCTGATGACTGTCTGCACTGCCAGCTGGAGATTGAATCCGCCCTCACACCGATCACTCGGGACCTTACGGTACCTACAAACACAGTCAGACGTGTGTGAGCATGTACAGGAGTTCTATTTCCTCTTTTTAAAAAGGAGTGACAGTTATTACCCAGCTGTCAGAAGCTCGTCCTCCTCTCCATTCAGACAGAGCTCCAGGGTTTTATTTGCAGCGTTCTGTCTCACACACTCTGACGTGTTCACGTGCCGATAGTAGCCGTAATCACTGTTGTGAAATACAGGGATTATTTTCCATGACATTTGGGGTTTGAGTATGTCATGGTATCTAGAATCTAAAACAAATTGACGTACCATACGTAATCTTCTCTGGTGCACAGGCAGGGGCTTTGCTTCTTGCTAACCACAAAGCCTCGGCCATTTCTGCACACAGATTTCTTCTTTAGCCTCCTGTAGGTCTCTTTGACACCCAGGAGACAACCCTTTCTCTTCAAGTCTCCTTCGTCTGTAGCATGAGCCAACCACTCCTCATAGTCCTGGTCATTACCTGAAGAATCAAAGCATGAGCAATCAGAATGCAACTGTCATCAACAAAGAAAAGAGGCTAGTTATATGTGACCTGGCAATACTTCAAGTGGATTTCCAAATCAGGTAACCCTTGTAATGCATATGCTACATTACTAGAAGTGTGGTCAAAATAGGCCAAACTAAATAAATGTTTATATGCACTGGAGGCCCATTAAGAATCTGCAACCGCACCACTAGATGGAGCCACATCCTACAAACTGGAGTGATATATGTGAGCAGGGCGGAGTATAGATATTGTAAAGAAGGCCTTTTGACTCACACTCTCTTGTAATGAGGCTCTGAAAATCGATGGTGACGACCACCCACATCGGCTGGCCGTCCTCCTCAGGCCTGAACCCCCACACGCTGACGTTCATGGCCTTAGTCCCCGGCTCAGACGCCAGGCCTGCGAAGAAGAAGGGCTGCTCGGTGAAGTTATACGACTTCCAGCACTGTCCCTCGTCTGTGGAGAACCTGGTAACAAGAAAAAATAGCAAATGTTAGAATATTCTGCCCTAAAAGGCTAAATAATGGTTTCAGTGGGCATAAAGTCAAAGGATCCGCTCAGTACTTTATAGTCTTGACTTGTCCTTCACGCTGAGTCTCCACAGCCACAATGAGACCCCCAGAGTCCAATATGCTGTAGTGGTGAGGACCCTTCAGTGTCCCCCTCCAGTTATAACCCCCGTCTGAGGAGACAAACACATCAGGATGCTGCGACGATGACAGAGAGTCACCCACTGTACCTGGAGAAGAGAGAAGATCACAAAAATAATTATAACTTAAGAGTCAGAACAAGTTACCCAACATATCCAAATGTTGTCATAATTGCAAAAGAAAAGGCATTACTGTTTCATTACCATGAGCGATGACCAGGCCGATAGCAGTGGGCTCAGACAGAGCCAGCATGGGAACGATGCGGTTCCTACGACTGTGCTCTCCATGAATGTGAAGGTTGCACTGGGAAAAACACATGTGATGGTTCAGTGACACAGACTAACCTGTACGATAGTAAGGTAAACACGTAGTGTACTGTAAGTGGGCACACCGGGTTTTACTCTTTCTCTGATTATAACATACATTCTTGACCTGATCTTCACATTCCACATTCTCAGGTTTGTTAAGCTGTCTCCACATCCCTCCTCTATTAAAGGAAATGACAGATCTTATACGGCCATCTGCAAAAAAAACACATGAAAGTAATACTTCAGTATTTTCTCAAACTGAAAAAAGTGATTAAATGGTTGTGTGACAAGTTAGCTCAAAGGCTGGCATTGTTGTACTTTTTTTATTGTCGAAAAATGGACGAAAACCAGCAATGTTTACATTACAAAATAACATTTTTCATATTTGTAAAGGCCCAAAATAGCTGTGCACTGTAATTCTTAACAAACTTAACTCAACATAAGTAAGTATTGCATCTGTATTTTGCTTTTGGGGGAACTTTTTTCAAGTACTGGAGGAATAATAAACATTTGATGGGAGTATTTACAGTACAAGAACAATGGATTAACTTGCCAATGTTCATATTGATCAAGGAACATGTCACCCATTGTGTGGCTCAATAATGCATTTGTAATAGTTTCGGACCACAACATTAAAGGGATAATACATTTCACACTAAGATGTTTCTTTTAGTTGAGCAATCACATTAGTTTCCACACAAAAAAAACGTACCTTTGTCTAGTTTATTAGTCAGGTAGACTCCTCTCAGTGAAGTGATGTTGGTGAAGTCGCTCTTCCTGTGCCCATCAAACAGGTGGCGCTCCAGTGATTTGGAGAATAAGATACCGCGATCATCTGATGTGTACATGGTTCCAAAGAAGGTGTCTGTGGGGAAACAGCAAACCGCAGGAAGACTTTAGTAAGACACATGATGACACTTCTAATAACAAGGGTCAAAGTTAGCCAGTAGCATATTTAGTTTAATGGGAATACATTGAAGGCAGTCCAAGCAGACGTCAGGAATTATTAAGTACAACACTTTCAAAATGTGTCCTCTTATCAAAGGCTTCAGATTGACTTTTTCAGCATTGTTCCGCTATATGAATGCGGTCCATTTACCATTTAACATTCAGAAATCAATGGTTCAACGTTTCAAATGACACTTTGTATGTTCATCTAAAGTGGTTATTTGGAAAACTACTGCTTCCCACACTTGATTTCAGCAAAGCACAGTAAAAAGTGCCAAACTGGCACCTGCCCAAGACAGCCTTATGACGAACCCCCAAATATGTTACGGCCTCAGCGTAAAACAACATTTTATGACTCAGGTTGTGGCGAGCAACAAATGTTTCACATACCAAACCCAAGGGAGTTATTTCATTCAAACGAAATCCAACACACAGTCCCTTTGGATCTCATAGGTTCTTGGAAATGTGATGTGGGTTGTTTGGTACAACATAGTGAAAACGACTGCTTAAGTAACACTAGTCATTTTTAGCAATCAGCTGTAGTCTGTTAACTTTTGTTGGGGCTCAAAAAATGACATCCATAGAAAGGTTTGGTCTCATTGTAAAATAAATGTTGGAGTGCACTTTTATTAGTAGGTCAATGTCCTTAATTGAATGTAGTGAGGTGTGTCACCTTCAAAGAGAGTAAGCACCTGGGAACAAGTAATGCAACGCTGACACACACACATAATCAGCATAATAACAACAAGTCATCATCAATCATATGTAAGGTGTGTGAAGCTCACACACGTGTCAGCTAAAGCCATGAAGGACAAGCTCAGCTGAGGGAGGTGA